CCCCAAGCAACCAACAAAAAATAAATATATTTAATTAAGAAATATTCACTGAAATAAAGAATATCCACTTCTAGAAAGGAAATAAAGGATGAATTGGGGTCTGCCTAAGCACTGAAATTTTCCCTCACCAAAGGTCCAGGTGAACACTCAGGGCTGGGGGAGATGGAGATGAATTTTCCTGGGGAAAAAGGGTGACATGGAGCAGTTAAGGATTTCAGAGCAGCTGGAATGTGACAGGGATTCTACAGGCACAATTCCCAGAGTTCTTTATGAAAACAGTGAGGGGGTGATGGATAAAACAGAGTTTGGCACTGGATTTATTCACGGTTGTGTGAAATCCTCAGCTGAAAGGGACCCCCAAGAACCATCAGTCCTGTGCACTTATGGGAAGGATCAGCTGCTTTAAAAAAAGACAGAAAAATTAAAAGCTTGGCTCTTTTCTAGCAGAATTAAACCCTTTCTTGAAGCACTTAAGGATTGAAGAACCGAAACTGGCCAGTGCTGATTTAAATTCAGGTGAAATAGAAGAAAAGGAGTTGGAGGAAGCTCTGGGAAAGGTTTGTGCAGAGACTGATAAAAAAAAAAAAAACAAAAAAAACCAGAGTTTTGCCTCTAGAGAGGCGAATCAGCAGCAGGGCAGGCTGGGATTCCAGGAGGGAAAATTGTTCCCAAGCAAAGGTTGAGCGGGAAATCTGAGGATATAAAACATCACCCTAAACCCCCTCACGTGGCATTTTTGAGGTGTCCCTTGCATCCCAAAGCTGCAGAGTTGGGGGACAGATCCCCCCCAACCCTCTCTGGGGTGAAAATTTCTGTTTTTCTCTGAGAGATCCTTCACTGCTGGTTCCTTTATCTGCCTTTCAGCCTCTAAATAATTTCCAGCTCAGAGCTATGAGCCAAAAGCCCTCTGGGTTTTTTAATTCTTCATTTTGTAGCCTGGGGTATTTAACATTTCAGGCCTTGGTTCCCCAAAGCTCACAACCCACCTGGTGGATACAGGAACTGCAAAGAGAGATAAAAATGGGTGTAAGAAGGGAAAAGAGAGTTAATTCCAGCTGTGTGCAATAATTCCTGCACAGACACAATTCTTTGTGCCAGGTTGAACCCTCCCTTAGGGGTGTGGTGGAGTTGGGTCATCTCTTGGTCATGTGGTGATTCATTTTATAATTTTTATCTTTTTCAGCTGATATCACCACCAGTTTCCTGCTGATCCTCATGTTGTTTGTCATCAGCTTCCATCTCCTGTTCGGGGTGCTCAAGGTACGTTCCCCACAAATGACACTCAGGGTTTGGGTGGTGCTCACTGGAATTGTGGTCGAAAAAAGCAGGAAAACCTCCCAGAATCTCAGAATCACACAGGGAAAAAGGCAGATAAAAATACCAGAACCACAGAATCATACAGGGATAAAAGGCAGATAAAAAATTCCAGTATCAAAGAATCACACAGGGAAAAAAAAGGTAGATAAAAATCCCAGAATGACACAGGAAAAAAAAAGGTAGATAGAAATCCCAGAATCACAAAAATCACACAGGGATAAAAGGCAGATAGAAAACTCAGAATCACAGAATCACACAGGAAAAAAAGGCAGATAAAAATTCCAGAATCATATGGGGAAAAAAAGATAAAATTCCCAGAATCACTCAGGGAAAAAAAGGCAGATAAAAATCCCAGAATCATAAAATCACACAGGGGAAAAAAGCAGATAAAAATTCCAGAATCACACAGGAAAAAAAGATAAAATTCCCAGAGTCACACAGGGAAAAAAAGACAGATAAAATTCCCAGAATCACACAAGGAATAAGGGCAGAAAAAAATCCCAGAATCACAAAATCACACAGGGAAAAAAGCAGATAAAAATTCCAGAACCACACAGGGACAAAAGGCAGATAAAAATATCTCCTTGTTGCGGAGGGGGAGAGGGTCTGGTTTGAATCTTCAGGTTCCTGGGAAAAACTTTGAACACCCAGATTGACCAAATCTGGGCAGCATTTCCATCAGGGCTATGTTTGGTGTCAAATGAAGGAGATTTTATGATTTAGAAAGGTTTTCTTGCCTCATTTCCTTTCCCTGTTGAAAGTCAGAGAGCACTGTCACTGGGAGAGAGCTGGCACTGCCCTGCTGCAGCAGGGACTCCTTTCCCAGGGCAGAAGGAGGAATGGCCAGGCCTGGGGCTGGAAACCCCAAGAATCTGATGGCAGAGCTCTAAGCATTAAACAAAACCCAAATAAGCCAGTTCTCCCTCTGCAGAGGTGAATTTCAGGAACAGTGGGATGACAGCTCTGATGGGAAGTGCCAATGCCACAGAATGAGAATTCACAGGAATTTTCCAAAGGGGTGAAGAAAATCAGCTTTGATGATTTTCTCTGAACCGGTTGTCACTGAAATCAGAAATTCCAGGGAAGTGTTAATTCTTGGAGCACCATCTAAGTCCTTCCAGGTGTTGCCAGCTGGTCTCGTTTCCCAGTTGGAATAAAAATAACCATTATATATCACGGTTATATAATAAATAACCAGCACTGCTTTTCCTCCTCAGATGAAGGAGCGGTTCCTGATCCCCTTCCTGGCTTTGCAAGTCATCGATTTCCTCCTGAGCCTCCTGACCATGTTCAGCTCCTACATCCAGGTGCCAGCGATCATCTCCGTGTCCTCCCTGGGCCACACGGTGGGTGACAGCTCCTCCTCCTTGTTGGAGCCCTGGTCAGTGAGAATTCCAGACTTTCCAGGCACTGACCCCCAGAGAACACTGCACTG